TCGTCGAGCGTGCAAAACGCGGTCGTGCGCGGGCCGTAGTTGGCCACCATCGATGCCACCTGGTCGCGGCCGGTCGCGCCGATGACGCCGGTCGCCGCCGGCCAGATGCCGATGATCGTCCCGACGGCCCAGTTGTTGTCGACGATGGCGGAGCCGTCGAGCGGGTCCCAGCAGAGGCAGAAGCGTCCGCCCGCGTGCATCTCGCGCACGTCGGGCGCCTCCTCCGAGGAGCCCGTCTTGATGAGCGGCTCGCTCCGGCACACGTCCCACAGCAGCTGGTCGGCCAGCACGTCCACGCCGAGCTGCACGTCGCCAAACACAGACTTCTGCTCCTCCGCCTTGACGACCAACTCGGCGCGGAGCGCTGCCGAGACAGTGGCAAACGCGCCGAAGAGCGTCAGCATCAGCCGGCGCAGGTCAGGGTCCGCCACCTTTGCGTCGAGCACGTCCGCCATGCTTGGGTACGACTCCTTTCGCACCTCGTCAGTGTAGAAGGCTGTCGACGCGGCGCCGACGTCGGCCAAGCTGACCGTGCCGCGGCTCGTAGCCGCGGCGGGACGGCCTGACGCCGCCGCATGACACGGTACGCTGAAGGACGACGCGCGGAGGGCGCTTCCGAGGAGGAGGAGGAGAGAGCACGAGCAGCGCATCGTCGAGGCTAGTCGTGCCGCTAGCTGTGAGGCTGATGGGACACTCGAGGTTAGCGTGCCGATAGCGTGCCGAAGCGACAGTGCCCGCAAGAAAAAAAGGACTTTGATGCATGTCATTCCTGCCTCTGTCGGACAAGGTTGTGGGGGACGGGGAGGAGGCGAAAGATGCGGCAGCAACGCTGCAAGCGTTACACGAGCTTGCTGGAGCGGTCCCGGAGGAGGCCGTCCCCGACGGAGCGGTACCTACCTACCCTACTTATGGGAAACTAAAAAAGAAATCGCTCGAGGGGTGAAGGTGGGGTACCACATACCAACTAAAGTGATGGTTGGTGGTACTCTCCTGCATCCACAGTCCTTCTTGTGACATGGCAGGCCACTCTCAAGCCCTACAAGCATCAGATCACCCATTTGGGGAGGGTTGACATCGTGATTTTGGCGGAAGATTTCTTTTTCTGCTGTGAAAATTCCGGCGTGAAGAGAGGGAAAAACCCAACGGGAGGGCCCAGACCTACCCTACCTACCCCGGCATGAGTGCCGCCCAAGCAAAAATAACCTACACCTGCTACCGTGGGGACCCCTTTTTATTTCTTTATATATCTACCAAAAGGAGGGCTACACGAGGCCCTCTACGCTGGGGCGCCGGCGCCCTACTGGGCGCCCCCCGCTCCCTTCCCCTTAGAACCCCCCATCCCGCTAGCCCCCCCCCCCTGCGGTCCCTCGCGGTCGCGCGACGCCGCACCAATGGCGCGCTGTGCCTCGTCCGCGAGCGCCGTCCAGAGCTGCACCGACAGTCGCTGCAGCGCAAACGGCATCCATTCGCGCGCCGACCACGACGTCTGGTCGTACTGCCACCACGTGAGCTTCCGGCCCGCCACCTTAGCCACCCGCATCAGCAGCTCCTCCACCCCCGCGCTCATTGCGCCGAACTCCTCGAAGAGCAGCGCCTCCACGCGGCACTTCCCCTCTGCGTCCGTGTACTGGCCCTTGACAGCCTCGACCGTCCCGGTCCCCGTCCGCGGGTCCCACATCCCCACCCTCCCACCCCTGTCCCCGCCCTCCACGCCCAGAACCGTCTCGCGGGCGCGTGGCAGCGTGTTGCCGCAAGCGACAAACGCCCCCATGCGCCCCACCCCCGAGGGGTCCGACGGCACACCGGCAAAGATCTTCGTGTCGCCGATGCAGGGCAGGTCCCCAATCACGCCCTGGTAAATGTACAAGTCCGTCCTCGTAGTGCTGTGCTCGCAGTGAAACTCGTGCTCCACCGCGCCGCGCCCCAGCTTGCCCCGCAGCAGCTCGACAAGGTCCAGGAGGACCTCCTTGTGCCGCGTCTGGTGGCCCGCCGCGCCGTCGTTCTGCGCCACGTCGCCAAGGCGGCAGGCGCAGGCACGGGTGGGGGTTGGCTTGGGATGTAGCAGGTTTTCCGGCAAACAAAAAGGAAAACAGAGGGTCCCCAGCACTTTGCGTTTCCGGAAATTTCCAGGGAAAACAGAGGGTGTTTGGTGCTCCATTCTGGAAACTCGCGAGTTTCCCTGAGTCTGAGAGCTGGTCTGGGGCAAAATCTGAGCACTGAGGCAAAATTGAGGAAATCGACAAAATACCCAGGCGGTCGCAGGGTAAATTCCAGGTATACCGCAAAATTCCCGCGCGGCATTTTTTGCCGATTTGGCCTAAAATTAGGCTGATTTTGGGCCC